CACATAGGGCCGCTTCTATAGACCCTCGTATTGATTTAGCAACGATTGGACCTATAACTGACCCACACCCCATTCACACCAGCAGAAAGAGCAGCTCCTCGTAACCTCCCCCCACTCCAGGCCAGACGTGTTTACGGCCAGAGCCGGGGAGCCAGTCTTTGAGTCCCTTGTCTGGCATATGGAGCCCTGCAACAAAAGGGCCCTTGTGGAGAAAACACAAAGCAGGTCGGTGCGTTTCCAGAGGGGGAGAGTCCGAGCGCCAGTGAAGAGCGGGAGGGGGGGGACACTCCTCTTCTGATGGGAACACTGGAACATGTTACAACAAGTCATCAGCACATCTCAATATGGATCAAAGAGTAGTGGACCTCGAATGTGCAATTCACCTATAAACTATGTTCTTCATTCACATGTATAACGTTGAGATATTGGCAACAAGCTGTTTGCCATATTCAGAAACTGATGCATGTGAACAACAACATTCGGTTCGTTTTGAATAGCAGTTTGCTAATGTGGAGATCGGGGCAAGTTGTCACATGATACGTGTTTTACTCAAAAGCCCAAGCATCCCATGTGAAAAAGAAGCACACTTTAGTATAATTATTAATGAGTGTGAAATGAATGTAATGTTTTCGGACACTTAATTGCATGTTATTTAACAATACAATTAAACTCAATTAATTTAAATTTATATTGAATGCAATTAGTTGCAATCATCTTTCTATATGTAATTTCACAATCATTCACGTCATATGCAATGATGATGTTGCATTTTAGTACACGTCTACTCTCTTTACATTAATATGAATATATGCACAGTATTTTAAAATATATAAGTGCACTTCTTTTCACAAATAATATTAGTTCAAACTATCAACTTTTTAAAACATTTTGTGCCGTATTACTATTTACATTTTTCAAGCGCCATACGCCTGATTCAGTTGTGACAGCTAGTGTTCAATGAACCATAACTTGCGCTGTAGACGTCAGGTGCAGAACATGTAAATAACCCGACCTCGATAAATATTCACTGGAGTAAAGACTGTGACACATAGCCCTCGTCTCTCTGTATAGCGTAAAGTCACTGAACATCTAAATGATCATTTAATGGCGTCTGAGGAGCTCAGTGGACATGTTGACAAGACGGGCCTACTAAAACATGTTATTTCAGAACCACATTTCTGAGTGTGCCATTATCTGTTCTCATCCACAGACAATCATCAGCATGACTTGGTGCGTCTGTCTTCACGATCATTCAGTGTTAAAGGGATAGTTGACTTTGAAATGCACAGAGAAGTCCAAATTAAACATGATTTAATGACTCGTAAATGTAAGTACACATTGATGGCCTAAGACACGAAACGAGCGGTTTGTGTGAGAAAACGAACAGTATTTATATCGTTTTTACCTCTTGTAAACACAGCCACGTCCAAGTGATCTGAGGGCGCCGGCGCTTCGGTCTGCGCGTTACAAGAGGTAAAAACGATATAAATACTGTTCGTTTTCTCACACAAACCGCTCGTTTCGTGTCTCAGGCCATCAATGTGTACTTACATTTACGAGTCATTAAATCATGTTTAATTTGGACTTCTCTGTGCATGCTCTTTGAGGTGGTGACCATAGACCTGCATTATATGACTGACAGACAAGAACGGTTTGACCTAAAAATATCAAAATTGAAACTACTGCGGAAACAAAGACACCTACATCTTGGATGCCCTTGTAAGTTAAAACATACCAAAAATTAATTTCAAAGTCAACTATCCCTTTAAAGGGGCTCAGAGAAGCTGCAGTTGGTTAAAGCAGAGAGAGAGAGAGAGAGAGAGAGAGAGAGAGAGAGAGAGAGAGAGAGAGAGAGAGAGAGAGAGAGAGAGAGAGAGCTGGTCAAAACCTCACAGCTACAGTTGAACCTCCTAAACGGCTGCTGATAACCCACTTGTTTTTCTGCGTTATGTAAGACGTCTATAAGTAGACCAGCGACTTTCACATTCCTTCCTGTCTGAGATCAAAAAACGAGCAGATTTTACCCTTCTGTCTGGGATCAGTTTCACAAACGCCTTCGTTAATCCCCTTAGCTCACATTTAGTGCCACGGTTTAATTCACAGTTTTGCCTATATGATAACTAATTAAAAAGGAAATATATACAAAACTGTTGAAAAGTTTGGGGTCGGTAAGTTTTTAAAAGGTGTCGCTTCTTAATCTCAACAAGGCATTTATGCGATAAAAATACAGTAAAATCAGTAAAATAGCTGTTTTCTTTGTGAATACACTCTAAAAAATGCTGGGTTGTTTCAACCCAAATTTGGGTCAAATATGGACAAACCCAAATGTTGGGTTAAAAATGTACTTTAAAAAATGACATTTGAAAGTGAAAATTGAAGTTAGGTTAACATTTTAAATTACATTTTTAACCCAACATTTGGGTTTGTCCATATTTGACCCAAATATGGGTTAAAACAACCCAGCGTTGTTTAGAGTGTATATAGTGTAATTTATTCCTGATCAAAGCTGAATTTTCAGCATCATTACTCCAGTTTTCAGTGTCACGTGATCCTTCAGAAGTCACTCTAATATGATGATTTGAAGCTCAAGAAACATTTATGATTATTATCAGTGTTGAAAACAGTTGTGCTGATTCAGATTTGTGTATATGCGTAGTCTGCAGATGTGCATGATCTCTATTCTGACCAGGCCAGCATTTCTCACCGAGGAGCACAACAGCAGTCCCAGAAGGCCTAATTGTCCTTTTCTAAGCTTCTTTTCTTGCGAAAAGCACATCGTTGTGCAATCTCCTCCATCTTCCCTATTTTGCCTTTTGACACGAGCCTCAAAAGAAGTTATTCAGGCCCGCTGTGCACAATACCTGCAATTAAACCGGCACACACACTGAGAGTTTGAGTTCAGAATAAAAGACGCGAGAGAATGTGTTGCATTAGTGTCTGATATCTAAAACAGTGCTTTCAAAGCCTATAGTGTAGTATTTTGTACAAAGACAATAGGCTTTAATCTGGCTCACTTGCACTTTGTTGGAATCAAATAAAACCTTTGCTTTCAGTTGTGCATCTCCATGCCCATATTTAACTGTTGCTGTCTTTATCAGTCAGCAAAGAACAAGTGCTCATAGCAGGATTGTATGAGGTGTTGACGCTCCACTCTGTGATAAGACTTCATTGTGTGTTAAAGGGACAGTGCTGTCACTATAAGTGAAGTGTCTTGTTTCACAAGAGTCGATGTGGTGAGAACTGCTCGTGGTTTCTTTGCATTGTCCAATGAAACTGCAAGAATGATAAAGAAGGTAAAACCACCAGAAATGTCAAACTAGAAACACAAGATAACTCCTTTGCATATGTAAATATTCATGCATAACAGATTTCTCAACCGTGTGTTCATATATGCACTCTGAAAAATGCTGGGTTGTTTTAACCCAATTTTGGGTCAAATATAGACAAACCCAAACGTTGGGTTAAAATTTTAATTAAAAAATGTAACCCAACGGCTGGATTTGTCCATATATGACCCAAAGTTGGGTTAAAACAACCCAGCATTTTTTAGAGTGTAAAGTAGACGTTATCAAAACCTTACAATGTAAGTTAATGGGGTCCAAAACAGCACCAGACCCAATTGACTTTCATTGTACAGACATTCTTCTGAATGTCTTCTTTTATGCATGTTTAAGACACAATATTTAAAAATGCTGGGTTGTTTCAACCCAACTTTGGGTCAAAACCCAGCCGTTGGGTTAAAATTTAAAATAACTTTTTTAACCCAATGTTTGGGTTTGTCCATATTTGACCCAAAATTGGGTTAAAACACCCCAGATTTTTTTAGAGTGAACCTGCTCAGAAACACACCAGTCCGGTTATCAACAAACCGCTGTGTAATCCTCACACTAAACCTTGCGGCTGGAAATCGTTGACGCAAAATTGGTGATAATGGACTATTATGTACAGATGACTAATCGGTTTAATGCAGCTGAACGGTCTTGGATCTCTGTAATTAATTATGACACTGCCTTGTTTTCATTCCCCTCGAGGGTTTCCCAGAGACTCCCACCCCTGTGAGGGCGATTTTGGGCTACGATTGCCCACTTGATTTGCTCCATCAAGTATGATGAGGTGTCACGCAACGACATAATGACGGCAGTGAAAATGGCCTCAGGTTAGGAGTCATTTACAGCTGAATATGACATGCTAATACAAGATGCTAATATTCATTTCAATGTTGCAGACACAGAACCCAATGCTAACTTGAGAGGCAAAGCCTATTCTGAGAGATTTTAGTTCAAATATTTACACAAACGTTTTCAGCGAATTGTAAGATAAAGGCTCAAATTAAAGGCCAGGTTTGAGTTCATGTCAGACTGATAAAGCTAACAATAGCTGTGATACGAATGGTTGAAAAACAACTTTTAATATATGCTCATAGAGCCAGTATTATTTTAATATCATTGATACACTAGTTTTTAATGAATATTTTGAATTAGTATAATTTTTATATTTTCCCATTTCGTTTTTATTTTAGTTTACATTTTCGTAAGTTAGTTGTTTTTGACCTTTTTATTAGTTTTACCAACTTTTATTTCAGTTTTATTTTTGCCTAGTTATTTTAGTATATCAAGTTAAAGTGAAAATGAGAAATGTTGCCTTGGCCACTAACTGAAATAAAAAAAGTTACATTTTTAAGTTTAACCTGTAAAAAAAGGTTGCATTCAGTGACCCAATAACCATGTTTAGAGCTATTTTCAGAAGTAAACTAAACTTTTTTCATGTGGATTACACCTCATCTGAGATGCACTAAAGTTTGAGTTTGCTCTTTTGTGAAGCCCTCCACAGGACACAAGCAAACTTCCCTCACTCTTGAAGGGGTGTGAGCCCAACTCTAAGACACGCCTCTTCAGAAAGTGGGCGGGGTTTGAAGTTTCAGCTTATAAAATGAGATTCCCACAGTGTGGTTGTAACCGAAGCAGAAGTTGACATCAGTTGTTCAACAGATCCTTAAAGAATCACAACCAGGCATCTCAAAAATGCCATCAAATTTCCTCACACCCTTCCTCGAGTTGGATGATGAATTTTGCAAGGTAAGAATATGAACTTTGTTTCTTGAACTTAAAAGTTAAGCATTTAAACAGCACTCAAATCATAATTTACTCAATGCAATGTTGGGTTACACTTTATTTTAAGGTGTCATTGTTACAGTGAAATTATATATTTAAGTACTGAGTCATATTAATGTACTTACTATAGGGATTGGGTAGGATTAGGATTTGGTTGAGGGTGAGTTGCATGTAATTATGCATTATTACTATGGTAAGTAACATATTTAACAAGGACACTGTAAAATGAAGTATTACCCAATGTTGTTTCAAACCTGGTTGACTTTCCTTCTTCTTTTGAAAACCAAAAAAATGTTTGTACGTATGTATGCATGTAATTTGGGTCCCACTGACCACCCAAATCATTCTTTTGTGTGAACATACCCTTCAATGATTTGTGTTTCTTCATGCATTTAGTTCTGAAACTTGTGCACAACAAGTATACTCAAGTCTCTCTCTCTGTGTTCCCAGAGTTTCCGCGGTATTGACCTTACAGATGCCACGCAGAAACAGCGTGTGGTGGGATTCCAGCGCAGACACTCCCTGTGCCCCGTGACTCTTCCCAACTCTAAGTTCAACAGCAACGAGAGCAACCCGTGGCCTTTGCCGGCCATCAACCAGCCCTGGATCCGCGAGCAGAAGCATCAGCTGCCTCGCTCCTCTCTGAACCAGATCCCCTTCAGAGTGGACCGGTCCGTGAGCATGATCGAGGGTCACGTGAACGCTTGCGAGAGCCCGACGGCTTGCTCTCTTCCTCCACCACCCGGCCTAAACATCAGCAACAGCTCCCTGTCCTCCCCGAAGTCTGCACCCATGTCCACTCGCTACAAGACGGAGCTCTGCCGGACGTACGAGGAGAGCGGCACCTGCAAGTACGGGTCCAAATGCCAATTCGCACACGGCATGGACGAGCTACGAGGCCTCAACCGGCATCCCAAATACAAGACCGAACCGTGTCGCACCTTCCACACCATCGGCTTCTGCCCCTACGGCGCCCGCTGCCACTTCATACACAACGCGGACGAGCAGCAAGGCGTTTCCGAGAACACACACACACACACACACGCAGAGAAGAGCATCCGAGAGCGACCGCAGTTGCTCCGCCAGAGCGTGAGCTTCAGCGGCTTCTCCTCGCAGCGTCAAACTCTCGGTGGTTTCCACGCCGTCCCGGACGCCTTGGCCTTCTCCCGATCCTCGTCTGTATCCCCGCCTCCGTCCACAGGGAGTCCCGACCTGCTCTCCCCTCTGTTCCCCGAGCCCGGGACCCTAAAGCACGGCCACCCGTTCACAGATCTGGGAGCAAACGGGAGCTTCTACGCCATCAGCGACTCGGAGAGCGTGCGAAACCTTGCGTACGCGCTCACGTCGGCTCTGCAGAGAAGCGCTTCTGCGGACTCGCTCTCGGACCAGGACGACTACACCAGCTCCAGCAGTCTGAGCGACTGCGACTCTCCCGGGATCGAGGGCAAGCGTCTGCCCATCTTCAGCCGTCTGTCTGTCTCAGACGACTAGAACGCAGTGCCTGTGCATATTGTGCATGCTCACTCGTGCAGATGTTTCTCTGCACTTGATTCATAAGAGTGATAGTTCGTGGACTTTGCTGGCAATGTATACTGTTGTATACCCAGTTCGAAAGTGCAGTGGGAACTTCACTTTAGGTTTATTTGTATCGGGAATTGTTCTGCAGTGTTTTGTCTGTAGGATGAACTTTCCCAAGACGCCTATTTGTAGTCTAACCAAAGCCGAGCAACTTAGAGTATATACATCTAGTGTAATGTCTAACCCGCTCCCTGAACATACATACTGTAGCCTTTAGTTAAGGCATTTTTTTAAACGGACAGTAGTTTAACCTAGTTCTTTAAAAACTATTTATTGCTTTTTTTGTATTATGCATTGCTTGCAGTTGTGTTTTGAATGCATTTCGAAGGAGGAACAATGTAGATAAGGCTTTTTTGTTTGTTTCTTTGAGCCTATTTGTCTGCTTTGCACGAGCTATCGCTTAGCTTTAATGAAGACCAGCTGCACAGAGTCTCACTGTTGGAATCTCAGGATCATTTTAAAGTGTCCACTGTCCTGTATCAGTCCTTCTCAATAACAACAGTCAGAGATATCCACAAGAATGAGTAAAAAAAAATGTTAATATGCAAGCCAACATGAATGTGAAAATAACAATGTACCGGAAAGAAGTCAAGTTGTACCATGGCCTTTTGCACTCTTATCTTTTATTTAAGAGGCGAAAATTGTCATTTGCAAATAACACGAACTGTGAGTTCTGATGTCCGTAGGTTGTGTTTTATTATTATTATTATTATTATTGATGTTGTTTCTCATCCTTTTGCCTTGTGAAAAGACACGCTTTTGCCTTTTGTTAACTTAAAACTTATTTATTTCGTTTTTTCAAAGTGGGAAAACAGTATATTGTGTTGTGCTTTCGTTTCATGTTTGTTTATATATAATTTAAATGAACTGTTTACATTCCATGGGATGGTAATGCCCATTTTCATTATAATATATGGTTTTAAAATAAACTTTCAAGGGAACAAAAGATCATTTGCCTCCTTCCTTTGCGTTGCTTTTCTTCTAGTCAACCCCGGTGAAGCTTTGCTCATAACAAGTAGTTGCATGTGAATTAATTTTAAACACAACTCCAATCCGGTTGAATCCCGCTCCTTCCCATCTGCCTCCTCGAAAGAAAGAAAAATGCATACTTGACAGCTCTTTTAATTATTCAAGCTGAAAACACACACAAAGGACAAGTGAACAGATGAAGGCTTTTGTGTGTTGCTTTGCTCATTGTTCCTGCATTTGTGCATGGAAGACTAAGAAACATCCCACTGTCACACACGGTCATGGACAATAGCCAAAGGTCTCGCGGCCTTTCATTGAGACCGGGCCGGGCAGTAAATGAAATGCAGGGGCATTTCTCACATCAGGGCTCCTTTGTGAGGCGACTCTCCCTTTTCTTAACAACATCTGTATGCTAATGGCGTGGCAGAAGGGAGGAGTGATTTGCAAGTCTATTGCAGAGCGGTAGGTCTTCGAGCAGCTTACCAGACACTGCTGGGTACACAAATGCAACCGGGAGTATAGGGAGGGGGATTTATCTGATACCCTAATTAAACTCCACAAACCATGATTTCACTCTTTACACTCTTAGTTCAGATCACCACAGTCTGACAACCACTTCCACAATCCTTCCATTTCAACATCCCAATAGACTCTGGTGTGTTTTTAAGCGTTGATATCTACTTCCTCCAAATCTCTGTAATCCCTGCTGTGTGATTTCGGCAATCCTACAAGATCAATATGAATGAATGAGGCATTTATATAGCGCTTTCATATGTACTACTGTACACCCAAAGCGCTTAAAAATCATATCAGGGGATCTCTCCTTAACCACCACCGGATCACACTGTACGACATGGATATAATAAACTACCACCACTTCCACAATCCTTCCATTTTAACATAGACTCTGTTGTTGTGTTTTTAAGCGTTGAGATCTACTCTGAATCTTTCCTCCAAGTCTCTGTAATGCCTGCAAAAACTGTGATTTCAGCAATCCTACATGATCATTACAGATCCCACTGTACGACGTGGATCTTATAAACTTGGGTACGACGTGTACGATGATGACACCTCGAATCGTGACGCAAGTTAATATGGAAGAATCATCAACATGCGCTGAAATAGAGCAACAATTTGGCAATTGTGATTTTTATGTGGACGAGGAAGCGAAACAGGAGATCATGGCGAGGGAAAAGAGGCCAACTTGGCATGCCAGGTTTGTAAATGGAGCTTGAGGAAAGTCATTTTAAGTTTTAGTGCAATGTCGAGTTGATCAATACGCCATTTCATGTTGCATTTTTGTTGGGTAGTCAGTAGATGTAGGTCGTGGCAGCAAACACACTTTCTGATACCGTCAGAAAAGGATCTCAGGCTATCTTTGGTCTCAAGACTGAGACAACGACCGTCTTTAAAACACTCTCTCACTGTACAACGTTTAGGAGCCACGACCACAGAAATCTCCACGATTGCTCATCTTTCGTCTGGGACAGCCCAACATCTTACAATGTGTACCGGCATAAAGGGCTTTCAAGGGCAACTCACACAACACACTTAGTTTGAAGCTACTGCCACCTTGTGGTTCATATGTGGGAAAGCACAGGCTCTGTCTGGGATAGTCATTCGTTTGGGAAAGCTGCAATATTCCTTTGGACATCAATTACAGTTTTTTCAAATCGCTTAGACAATAAAAGTGGAGCTTGAGGCTCACTCAGTGTAACTATTCACTCATGTACCGAATCTTCAGACCAAGACTGCAAAACTACATACGCTTTACACTCGTCGTATTGTAAAAAACAACAACTTTTTTTGCAAAACTCTAAACATTCGACATATCACTCAAACCAAACAGCTCTTTTGTTTTATTTGGGAAACACTGCCATTTAAATGGCAGAATAATTTACTGATGACTTACAGCCAATGATCATGAACACACTTATACATAAATCGATCACTTAGAAATCAAATCTTAGTGTTTCGAGAAAGAGAGAAATTAGTGTTAACCCCTTGAATATCTGTTTATAGTGTAAATATTTACATATACACTGCTGTTCAAAAGTTTGTGGTCGGTAAGATTTTTAATGTTTTTCAAAAAAAGTATCTTCTGCTCACCAAGGCTGCATTTATTTGATTAAAAATACAAAACAAACCCAGTGATATTGTGAAATATTATTTCAATGTAAAACAGCTGTTTTCTATGTGAATATATAGTAAAGTGTAATTTATTCCTGTGATCAAAGCTGAATTTTCAGCATCATTACTCCAGTCTTCAGTGTCACATGATCCTTCAGAAATCACTCTAATATGATGATCTGATGCTCAAGAAACATTTATGATTATTATCACAGGTGAAAACAGTTGCGCTGCTTCATATTTTTGTGCAAACCGTGATGGGATTCTTTGAAAGTTCAAGAGAAAAGCAATTAGTTAAAAAAATATATATTTTGCATTATTATAAATGTCTTTACTGTCACTTTTGATTAATTTAATGCGTCCTTTCTGAAGAAAAGTATTAATTTCTTTAAAAAAAAAAAAATCGTATTGACCCCACATTTTTGAACGGTAGTGTACACACACAAAGTGCTTTAGAAATAAAGTTGACTCTCTGACTTGGCTTGTATGGATATTCAGTGTGTATACACACAAGCTACAATATAGATAGTTTCGCAGCAGATTCACAATAGTAACAAACTCAAATTCTCCTGAAAAGCCAAATGTGTCATTATTCAGCTTAAGTCACTTCAGTTTTGATTCAGCTCAGTTCAATAACTGTGTAAAATTAATCTGTTTTGTACAGTGTATTTGTATCTGTGTACGTGTGACATACTGTCCTCTCCACTGCACACTGAACAAGTAAAAGACACAAGATAGTCGTGCTCTACATTTTTCACATCTGTGTGTGTTTGGTGTGTATGTGGCTAATCATTTGATGTGATTGTGTGTTGAATAATTATTATGAATTAAGTGTTTTCTTTTGCAAGAGATGTCTGATGTGTTTGCATGTTGTGTGTGTGTTTCGTGGTTTATTATATATATCATATCTGTAGATTTCCATTTCAATACACATATTTAAAGGCGGTGAGTTTTTTTTTCTGTGAGGTTTGTTAATATATCATTATCCTGATTTTATACAACATTTTATTCCTAAAAGCATGGTGCTTTTTTTCTTTTCTTTTATGGTTTTTGACAGCATTTCTGAATTATAAAGTGATCAAAAGAGATCCGCTCTGTAAAAACCTTCAACTCTAATATGAATTGGAGAATTTTCTACAAAGAATTTCTCAAAGTCCTATTCTGGAAATTAGGGCATATGTAATTGCATAATGCCTCGTTTGCAAATTTGAAAACTTGTAATAAGAAATTGTCTCATGTAACTGTTATTAATCAAATGGGTAAATAAATGTTTTCTCAGTATTTTGGGCATCTTGCACTCATGCTGAAGACTGATGCAGTTCTCCTTTAGACCACACGAGGTCAGCAGCGTTTAAACCAGAGTCAAATATCCCACATCTCTCCTACTGGACCAAGTACTAACAAGGCTAGTGGCTAATAACAGTTTCTTGCTAGATAAAATATGTCTTCCTCCAGAGGACTCAATCGTACGGAGCCCCTGAGGGACGTGGTGCTGGAAAAAAATGGGGATGGGAGAAACAAATATTTTTCAAATCTTTTGCGTTTCTTCTCACAGATATGCCGCAAAACCTGTTGCTCGGACACACACTTTTCCTGTTTAAGGTCCGGGTGGCAGTGTTTCAGACACGTTAACAATGGAGCGGTTCATAGAGTTTGAACTTGGACTCAAATAAAACATGTGTTGTCAGTGCTTAGTTCAAGGAGTTCAGTAAAGTTGGTAATATATTCACAGTTTCGAAGTCGTGAGCTAAACGTTGTTAAAACACAAATGACACAATCATAGTAACAGACAACGAGCTACAACCCAATTTTCCTCAAAACGAGCTTTATAATATAAATTGGTCTCTAAGAGCAGAAG